AGTCCGAGGCACCCTCGGGAGAACGACCCAGGCCCCGACACTGTGCGGCATGATCGGGGCCCCCACGGACCCACCACACGGTGTAGTCACCGCATGGCATGGCTTCTTGGTGGGCCCTGGAAACGACAGGGCCGTTTTTGTTACCGGTTCCGTTTGGCATTTTTGTTTGGCCGGTTCCGACGCCGTTGTTTTACCGGTCCCGTCGCCGTTTTTGCACCGCTTCCGGCTCCGGTTCCAATCCTGGAGCCGTTTTTGTTGCCGTTTCCGGTCGCCGTTTTTGTGCCGTTTCCGTTTTGAAGGGGCATTTTTTCGGGGATGGACAGACTCCCCTTTAGTAAAACGTGGTTTAGTGAAAACGACCTGAGGCCCAAACCTGGCGGGCGCAAGCCTGGAAAATGACGGCCACGGCGCCATCTCGAGAACCGAAAACGGACAATTCACTAATCGACGTGTCACTCTTGGGGGTTTTGCCATCGCTCGGACGTCCACGCCCTGTGCATTTTTGGGGTTTCGTGCGCGTGTTTTTGTCTGCTCGAGGATCCAGGATGCTCCTCCCGGGTCCTCGCCGAGGAACAAAAATGCACACGTCCGAGCGATGCCAGGGGGAAGGGGGTGAGGCCGGAGGGGACAGAGGGGTGAAAGAGAGTGCAAAAAAAACCTGGGTTGCAAAAAAACCCTTAGACGAAGGGTTGCAAAAAAAACCCTTAGGAAAAAAGGGTTGCAAAAAACCCTTAGGAACGAAGGGTTGCAAAAAAAACCCTTAAGAACGAGGGTTTTTTTTTTGCAACCCTTAGGAGAAAGGGCCGGAGGGAGGGGGGGCGTCTGCCGCAGGGGCGGGGCTGCGCCAAACCGGCCCGCGGAGGCTCTGGGATACACGACGAGTGGAGCGGCGAGGACGGAGGGCCGGATGGATGGGGGGGAGTGCACCCTGCGAAATGCTTAAGAAATCACGGGTTAAGAAATTCATGGTCTCAGGACTTGAATCAAACCCAGAACTTCTATCAACATCTTGGGATTTACACTGAAAAGTTCAGAATAATCGAGACTCTGGACGAAAACTTAGGTTTTCTTAAGCATCGCCTAGGGTGTAGGAGGGAGTAGGAACGTAGGAAGTTGGAAGAAGGGCGGTAGGTAGAAGGGAGTGGGAGGGAGGGAGGGAGGGAGGTGAACTGACTGAGGCTGAGCGCTTTGCGAGCACCTGCTCGAGGAGGGAAGGCGGGGGCGGGATTGGCGGGAGGGGCGGGACGGACGGAGGGGAGCGCGTTCCGACGAGCCCCATCCCCTCCCAAGGGGGCCCAGAGAAGGGCCAGGAGCATCCGGGCATCTCGATCCTCGATCCTCGAAGGAGGCAGAGGGATATCGGAGGCGGAGGGGGGCGGCTGGCGGCAGGGCTTCAGGTTCGCGCCCGCTTCGCAGCGGGCTCCTGAACCTCGCCGCCGTCCTGCGGAGGGAGGGAGGGCGGCGCCGCCCGGCAGAAGGGGGTGCGGTCCCTCTCCTCCTCGAACCAGACACTGCGGGCAGTGCCTGGTGGTACCACGATGCTCTCGCCACGCCCTTCCTCCCTGGCCTTCGCCAAGGGGGGAAGGGCGGAACACAACTCGTGTTTCCACCGCCTCCTCCTTCGGACAGGAGGGGGGAAGGGGAAGGGATGGAACCTTTTCTCCTCTGCTCCCTCTCCTCTGGTGGGAAACGTGGGAGGGGGAGGAGGGAGGGGAAGGAAAGACGGTGTATGACTTGAAGTAGTTCAACGGTGGTCCTGGAAGGTTCCACCAGGGCTCTTCTTGTTCCACCCATACTCATGATGGATTAGCTCTCACCTGTCGCACCAGCAGACGTGTCCGAAGGCCAGGCCAGGCGAGCCGTCGTAGAGCTCCCTGCCACCCACAATTCTCAAGCTCAGAGGGTCGAACAGTTGCGAGGGTGGACGGGGTGGCCACTTTCGACATGCGGTTCTCGCCTCAGCGCCGCGCACATTTGTCTTAATCACTTCACACAGTTACAAGGATGGAAGTCAAGTTGGTGTAATGCGGTTCTCGCTTCAGCGCCGCGCACATTCGTATTCGCCGCTTCTCACCACACAAGGATGGAGGTCATCTTCAAATCCAACTCTTCCTTGCGATGTTGTCACACCCTACGAAAAAACAGAAAGGTGAAACGACTGCACAAAATGAGGGGCTTCTGCTCGAGACTCCCTGGGGCACCCGCAAGCTGCACGACCACCCTTCGAAAGTGTGCAATATTGAGCAGCCACAGGGCGGATCCTGCACCACACGGGCCAATCCCTTTGCACTTCTTTGGCTGCACCATCGGCCAACCAGGCGCTTCTCATTCCAGGGAGGCGCTCCCCGCAGCGGCCCGGAGCGTACATTGCAGCATGATTGACGCATCCTGGGTTCACTCTGGTCTACCCTCTCTTCATCATCACCCTCATCCTCCTCCTGCTCTGCCTCCTCCTCCTCCTTCTCCTCCTCCTCCTCCTCCTCCTCCTCCTCCTCCTCCTCCTCCTCCCCTGTCACTCCTCCTCGTTTCCCGCTCTTTGCTTCTCCTCCTCCTTCTCCTCCTCCTCCTCCTCCTCCTTCTCTTCCTCCTCCTCCTCCTCCTCCTCCTCCTCCTTCCTCTTCTCTCTCTCTCTCTCTTCCACTCAGCATCCTCCTCTCCTCCTCCTTCTGCGTCCCCTCCTCCTCCGCCTCCGCCTCCTCTTCCTCCTCCTCCTCCTCCTCCTCGTCCTCCTCCCAGTCCAATCTCCTCGGAGGGAGTGGACATTAGGGAAGCGATGACGAGGAGAAGGGCCAATATTTGTTTTCTTGGGGACCGCTTTCTGAGATGGCCGCAGGGGCTTCTTCGAATGGGGCGGTCTCCTCCAGCTTCGCACCCCCAGAACATTCTCGCAGGGGGCATGCAGCCCCCCCTTAATATTGGCTCCATTTGCCCGTGACCAAAGGGGGGACGAGGATTGGATGAGGAACGAAGGAGGGAGGACGAGGATAGGGGAACAAATAGTGACATAAACACGAAAGCTCTGTGGTCCAAGCGGATTTCTCGGCTCGTCGCTGGACCCCCTCCATGGCGCGCGGAGCGCACCGGGAGCGGCGCCGGAGGCGCAGCCAGGGGACCCCAGCGCCGATCCAGGGAAGGCGCGCGGACCTCCAGATGTTTTATGTTTTATGTCATTGCTTGGTCCCCGAGAGGAGGGGAGAATGGGAAGTGGGCTGGAGGGGGATCCAAGGAAGTCGCGCGGACCTCCAGATGTTTATGCTTATGTCACTGCTTGGTCCCCGAGAGGAGGGGAGATAATGGGCAATGGGCGGGATGCGCGAGGCCGGAGGATCGACGAGGCAGAGGCCGGGGGAGGTGGGGAGCAGGGCAGGGGGGGGGGCGGGGCCACGGTGGATCGTAGGCGAGACGCGAGTGGCGTATGCGCGTGGGGCGCGTGCGCCTCGGGCGATCCTCCTCCTCCTCCTCCTCCTCCTCCTCCTCCTCCTCCTCGCTCCTCCTCTCCTCCTCCTCCTCTCCTCCTCCTCCTCCCTCCTCCTCCTCCTCCTCCTCTCCTCCCTCCTCCTCTCCTCCTCCTCCTCCTCCTCCTATCCTCCTCCTCCTCCCTCCTCCTCCTCCTCCTCCTCCTCCTCCTCCTCCTCCTCCTCCTATCCTCCTTCTCCTATCCTCCTCCTCCTCCTCCTCTTTCCTCTTTCCTCCTCCTCCTCCTCCTCCTCCTCGGTGTAAGCAACGAACGCACGACCGACGCGCGAGCCGTCCCTGCAGGGGGGCAGACGCTAGCGGCATACGGGGGGGGCGGCCGTGGCCGCTGACTCTATGGGCCCATTGAGCTCCTTCACAGTGCTATCCAGAAATGTGGATAACACAATCCTCCTGCAGATCCCACCGGGCCTTGTGAAACGTTGCCGTGAGCCGTGTGACGGAGGTATGGATGGGCAGGGGCTGGAAGGTGCGATACAGTCAGCATCCATAGTGAGGACGCCAGGGAAGGGTGCAAGACCCTTGGAAGTCCCATTCACCATTTCGAGCTCCTTGGATGTCAACATTGGCTCAGGATGGGACGACATAGCGGGGATGCAAGGGTAGACTTGATGAAGCAACGCATCCTTACTACGGATTTTGATGGCACTGTCAAAGAACGCGGAAAAGACTTTGTTGGACCCGCTTTCCTCAGGACCCCCTCGCCTTCATTGCGGCTTTCCTCACCCTCCCCACATCTTCGGCAACTGCGGCAAACATTCAAGAGAGGGAGAGAGAGAGAGAGAACGCAGACAGGGCGCTGATTCTGCAATGGCAGGGACTGGCGCGCAGACCGCGTCAGAGGATGTTCTCATCATATCTCCTCAGAGTGCCAGCAACACGGCCGACTGTTGCGCTTATAAATATCCACCTCCCTGCACTCCCATGGCGACGAACGTCTGGGCAGAGACCGATTGGGGAAACGTAAGGCTCGGTTTCGGGGGACTCGGGCTTGCCTGACGGGGCTGTCAGGAAAATGACGAGACCCTGTTTGAAATCTGGCACGAGCTCCCGCTGCACACACCCTACGAAAACTGCGCCGTCGAAATTTCAGGACGGGCTTTTCACTGAGCATCGGTAAACCTCGAGCTGGGCGAACTCGATTCTAACGTCTCCCCGGACCGAAATCAAATACGCACGTGACGGGGTTCAGCGCACAGGGAGGTCAACCAGAACGCCTAATCCTGCAAAGCCGCAGTTTGACTGAGCCAGGTTCGGGAGCCGCTCGTGGCCCTGAAAGTTGCCTTACATAATGGCTTCACCTAGTTTGGGGCTCGGGAGACCCCCCCCAACTGCAGCGCATGCGTTTCAATTGGCTGAGCTGGGTTTGCGCTGAGCTTGGTCAATCCACGCCGAAGTATTTGCCCAGAGATTTGCCAGGGCTCAGCATCGCTTCGAGCGCATCGCCGAGGTCCCCCTGAGGCAGAGCATGCGGCGGCAGAGGCGAGGGCGGATCACGAGGTGCCTCGGCCACCTCGGCGCCCTCCTCAGCGGCGGCGTAACCGTCGTCGACGAGCATCTCCTGGGCAGCGAGAAAGAGAGAGAGAGAGAAAACAACAAAACAGACAGAGAGAGAGAGAGCGTGGAAGAAAACAAATAAAAGTCACTTAAAGTTCTGTGTCAAACACGCGCGGTCTTGGCCCTCCCCCGCTTCTCGTCCGACACCCCCTCTGCCCTATGTACCCCCCTCTCGTCCGACCCGAACGCGGCCTCGCGAGTCCCAAAGGAAGGACACTTCCCGAAGGCGCCGCAGATGCCCCCGAGCGGGGACTCCGTCAACCAACCACCGACCCCTCGCCCAGCGGTAGTGGGCCCCCGACAAGAGTACACCCCGCTGCGTGCAACGGACTTCGTACCCCCCCTCTGCCTTATACCCCCCCCCTTTTCGTCTGACCCGAACGAGGCCCCGCCGGGCCTAAAAAAGGGCACCAATCAAAGGCGCCACAAAGGGCTCCCGGGCGGGAACGCACAGCGCTGTGCCAACGAGGTCTGCACGGCAGGGGCGGGGAGGTTCTGACGCCCGATTGGCCTCGCAGCGGAAGGGCGATGAGTAAGCACGACCGCGGGACTGCAGGCGGGCAGGCGAGGCGCGAGGCTGAGGCTCGGCCCGGCTCGCGCTGTGGCGCAGTGTGGAAACATCCATAACTGCATGGATGGTGCGAGGGATCTGCCCGTGGCGGAAGCGCGATGAGGAAGACGAGGAACGAGAAACGCGAAGGCGCGCGATAACGAGCGAGGCGTAGCGAGGGGGGCGAAGACAAAGGAACACGTTGTATACATGTATGAGGACCATAGATGTGTATATATACACATCTATGTACATACATATATATACATATATGCATATATATAATATGTGTATGTAATTGTATACGTTTATACACGTGTGTAACCATGCGCACGCGCACGAACACCGTGTATACATATGCACGTATGAATATGCACACGAGCTGTTGGAGGTCCGCTGGGGTACCTCGCATTGAGCAGGACCGCAGGAACGCGCACTGAGCAACGACGAGCGATGAGGGCAAACGGAGGGGGAGGACCAGAAGGAACAATGCGGAGCAAGGGAGGCGAGGAGGAGCTCGAGGAATCCTCTCGCTTCCCCAAACAATGTTTGCCCTTCAGGGCTTGTACTTCTGTCACTCATGAGTTGGATGGGTCCGCCGAGGATTGTTCACGCTGTCGCTGATGGCCGCATCGCGGCCGCGTCGTGCGATGGATGAGTTTGGCGGGGTTTCGCCACGTTGCCGCCCGCGGCCGCCTCGTGGCCGCCTCATGCGCTGGGCGGGTCGTGCAAAGTTTCGCCACGTTGCCGCCTCGCGCGCTGGGTTCGGCGAGGTTTCGCCGTGTTGCCGCCTCGAGCTTGCACGTTTTTTCCGGCACCACAACTTACACCGCATAGCTTGTGCCGCATAGCTTGCAAATGCACAATTCAACAACTTACTTTCTGGCGCCCACGCAGGTCAACGCTTTGTTTCGCAACGTGGCTCCCCAGAGGTCAGGGCCCCTTCCGCGCGACCTGTGGCGCATGATGGCTACCCATCCACCAACCGCGGAAGATGGTCCAACGCCTTCCGCTGCAACCGCTTCAGGACTCGAGGGTCTCCGCGGCGGCGGCGGTGGCGCGGAAGGTGGAGGACGAGGATGCGGATGAGGGATGGGGGGGGGCCTTTAAAGGGAAACTGGGACACACAAATCAATACACACAAATAAAAGGATTCCCCACATTTTCCCATATTTTCTGGGTCTTTGTCTTCCCCACCACTTCCCATATTTTCCCATATTTTCCGGGGAATCGACGATTAATTGTGTCTGTGTGTTTGTTCCCCTCCTGAGCCTTGGCACACCATGGCAGGACCGACGCCCGTCAACACAGAACGGGTGTCATCCGATGGGGTCCCCGTCCCCGCGGTGGGGGGCGCGCGCGCGGGCGGCGCGCGCGGGGCCCTATACTCGGCGAAGAACCAGAAGCCGTCGGGGCGGGCGTCGCCCGTGGGGGCGCACGCGCGTCCGCGCGCGGGCCCACCGCGCCCCCCCCCCCCCAACGCCTCCCACGACGACGGCGCTCCACTGAAGGGGCCCCAGGACACACAAATAAATACACACAAATAAAAGTATTCCCCATATTTTCCTATATTTTCTGGGTTTCTGTCTTCCCCCCCACTTCCCATATTTTCCCATATTTTCGTGGGAATCGACGATTGATTGTGTCTGTGTGTTTTTTTCCCTCCTGATCCACCGCCACCCACCTCCACACTCGGTTCCTCCATCCCCTCGCCCCTCCCCGCTCTGCAGACCGCATGGCAACAGCACGCCGGGGCCCTCTGTGGGAAGGGAGCAGGCCACGTCGTAGCCTGATTTGGTTCTGAATGCCTTTTGGGGTGGGGGCCCTGCATGCAACGGCCAGCCACCTTCCGTCGACGGTGGTCGTGGTCCCGCAGGTCGGACAACAATTCAGGGGGAACTCTGACAAAAGAAAACCAAAGTGCAGGAGGGGTGTGCCACAGACGTCTCAGCGAACACCTATCCCGTACGACGCACAAGCTGGGACCAGTCCGAAGTCATGGATGAGGCAGCAGGGGCCGGGCCTGGGCACGGATGGCAGAGAACTTAAGGAACTGAGAAGCTGGAGCGATCTGGCAATACACTCTACACCTCCACCTGTTACCGATATGCTAGCACGCATGTGCAGTGTCCTTCAGCGCTCTCTTCTTCTTACAGGGTGGGGCGACTCTCGACTTGGCCACCCTCGTGGCCTGCCACGGGTCGAATTGCAAGGAGGCAAGGAGTTCCCTTCTCGCACGGCGACGGTTCAGCTGAGCAAAGCAATTTTACATGCCCGTCCTGAGGACAGGGTGCTTAACAAACTCGTTCCACGAACGGTCCACGGCCTTCCCAGCCCAGCCGTCAGCACACATGTTGCCTGCAGTCGAACAAACACACCTGTTGCTCAGAACGGGGTCTGCCAGAGTCCTCCAAGTGGGCGGCCGTCCAGAGGATGTGCACGTTTGCCTCTCTCGGCGGTGGACAAACCTCCCTGTAGTAAACAACCCTTCAGTGAGAACGGCCTGGGACCAAAATCGATGGGCCTGGACCCGCAAAAATGACGGCCGCGACGCCCTCTCGCGAGCCAAACACGGCCAATTCACTAATCGACGTGTCAGGGTAGGAGGTCTATCAATCTCCGACCCTCCTCTGGCTCGCAGCGCCAAGACAACCCTGTACCAACAGATCCTGGTGGGTCCCAAGCTTGCCGCGGCCGCGGCCCGCTCTCCGCCCGTCGAAGACAGGCTGGCAGCCCGTCGCACAAACTGGGGGCCCCATGGCTCCTCCAGGGCCACAGCGAGGGCGGCAACCTCCGCGCGCGGCACCGTCTGGCGCATCCCAAGGAGCGACGCCGTACTATTTCGGCCACCCTGGAAGCCAGAATCTCACCACCGTCACCGAGGTCGCGATCGTCTTCCCTCGGTGGAGGCACACCGCCGAGCTTGGTGTTGGTGTCACCCTACAGGCCTGCCATTGCTCGCCGAGGCCAATTGGGCTCTGACTGAACTCCAGGAGCGACGGATCCTAGGCTGCGAAACTGGAGACCGCTTCTGAAGCTGGAGTCACGCGTCGACGAGCTGGCGGCGGACCTCCGGGCCAGGGTCGCCGTCACCCGGCGCCGTCTGCAAGACAGTGAAGTTAGGCATCTGCCTCTCCCAGTGAGGGATGGGGGGAAGGAGGAGGCGGATGATGATGATGATGATGATGATGATGATGATGATGATGATGATGATGATGATGATGATGATGATGATGATGATGATGATGATGATGATGATGATGATGATGATGACGAGAGGAGGAGGAGGGAGGAGGAGGGGGAGGAGGAGGAGGAGGAGGAGGAGGAGGAGGAGGAGGGGGAGGAGGAGGAGGAGGAGGAGGCAGGAGGAGGAGCAGCAGCCAGGACGAACGGGGAGCGAGGAGGAGCCGCAGTGGCCGGCCCGTCGGCCCGCCGGGAGCGATCCTCGGCGGCGCCCTCGGCGGCTGCCGCCTCGGGGGGCGGCGGGGGCGCTTCGCGGGCGTGGGGCCCCGCGGCCTCCCGGGAGCCGCGGGCTCGGAGGGCGGGGGGCGCCCGTGCGCCACTGCACGCCGCCGCCCCCGGGAGGTCGGGGAGCCAGCGGGGCGGCCAGGAAGAGGGGGGGGATTGCAAAAAAACCGAAGGATTGCAAAAAAAAAACCCTTGAACGAAGGATTGCAAACAAAAACCCTTGAACGAAGGGTTTTTTGCAATCCTTCGTTCAAGGTTTTTTTTTGCACTCCTTGGTTTTTTTGCAATCCTTCGTTCAAGGGGGGGGGGGGGCGGGCGGCCCCGGCGGGGAGCCGGGGAGGGAGGGGGGCCAATCAGGGTCCAGGCGCACGGCGAGGAGGCGCGGAAGGAGGCGGGGGCCTCGGGGAGCCACGGCCACGGTTGTGCGCACGCGGGGCCGGCCGGCGGAGGTGGCCAGGGCTGGGCCGGAGGGGGAGGGGCAGGAGGAGGAGGAGGAGGAGGAGGAGGAGGAGGAGGAGGAGGAGGAGGAGGAGGAGGAGGAGGAGGAGGGGGAGGAGGAGGAGGAGGAGGAGGACGAGGAGAAGGCTCCCGACCTCTGGGCCCCTGGGGGCTTCCGCGGGGGCCCCCAGGAGAGTCACCTCGGAGAAAAGACGATCTTTACGGTGCGCTCTGACGGCACAGTCGAGGCGTTGGCCCAAGGAACCCAAAAAAATAAGGAACGAGGCCCCTATTTTCCACAAGTTGAACTTCGATGTCGCATCGACAACCCCAGGGAAATCCAGGGCAAGCTGCGAAACACTTGAGGAACACGGAGCCCCTCCCCAACGAAAAGGGTTCCTTCTTCAGGGCCCCGACTGTATTAGAGGCCTCCTAGATGGGGTCGAATTAGATGGGGTCGGAGGATCCCGTCGGCGATGCATCGGCGATGCATCAGCGATGCACCGGAGATGCATCGTCGACGTGGGCGAGGCATCGGCGACGTCGAC